ATGTGCTTTTCAAAAGCATGAATAGTTGAAGGAAAAGGGAAAGAAAAAACACAGGGCACCTCCAGGATTAAGAAGGTGAATAATAAGGCTCATTCCATGAAGCCAAAAATATAAATTCAGACTCACCTTCACTGTTTTAAGGTCATTATCCATGTAAAATAAAATAAGCGGGACAACCTCTAGTTTAACTATTCATTTACACACAAGGACACTACGTGTCTAATTTACTTCGATCTCTGTGCAAATGTGATACGGTACCATAGGCTAATAAGTGTTCAAATACTTATTTAACCCATAGGAGGGATTCAGCCAATCCGGCCACAAAATGAATGAAATGAAATGATAAACACCCAAGGTCAACATTAAACAGATAAATAAAAAAAAGCCTCAGAAGCAACCTTTCAGATTAAAACCCAAATGCTACACTTTCCAAAGGTAACAGTATCACTGGCATAGTGATGTAGGGAGGCAGCCGTCCAAGGCAGCTTTATGTCTAAGGCGACTTGAGTTCCCCTCCTCCCTGATTTGCACCTAATATTGTGAGGGACTCTAGGATGGCGTTTGCAGTAAAGATCAACTATGGCTTTGTGTTTTGACATTTGAATCATTAAGAGTTTTATTGTGTAATTTCTTTGGAATGAGTTCAAGGACCAAGTTGTAAATGCTTGAAAACTAAAACCACAATCCTCCCCCTCGGTTCAGTGATGGCTTTTCTCTTCTAACAAAGATGGCTTCCTTGATCCCTCTTTCAAACTATCTGTCCTCTCTGCCCAAGATTTGTATATTTTGCTTGTCAAATCTGTCTCCTTTGTTCTGAAAGTTCAAGTGTACACCAGAATCACAGCTGCTCAATGTCCTTAGTAGGGATGCACGATATAATCGGCCCCCTATCGGTATCGGCCTGTATCGGCCTTAAAACTGAATATCGGACATCGGCCACCCCACCGATATTTAACCCGATATTTGATCAGCTTCTGAGTTTCTAAAGTCTAAAAAAAAATAAAAAATACTACTTCTTTTTCTTCCTCAAAAACAAATTTTTTACAGACTTAAACATTTCTAAAGACGAGGGAAAAAACATTGATACATTAAAATTTCACAATATACTTCATATACTGATATATTGCTATTTAAAAACACCATATCAATCTCTTTTACTAATGAAATATTGCTATATGTCATCACTATGCTACGAAATCCCCCAAAAGTCACAAAATTTTGCCATATTTTTATATGTTGATATATTGACGCGGTATCGATCTATCTTACTAACAAAATCTCACAAGAATTTGCAAAATATCACGAGTTTGTAACAGAACGATGAAATTTCACGAGATTTTGAAAGTAAAATAGATCGATACCGCGTTTTTAAAAATCTATTTGATATCAGTATATGAAAATATATTTGAGTATATTATTTTTCAAAGTGTCAGAAATGGATAACAAAACTGCTATTTTCAATGACTACTTACTTTTGTCCAGCTTTAACATCGGTATCGATATCGGTTATCGGCTACATGAGTTGAACAACTATCGATATCAGGGAGACTTGGGATGTCTGTGTAGTTGTTGTTTGCTTTCTACAATAGTCTAAACAGTCTTTGTTGCACTGAAACTTGACAAACACTTATCAGCTTTGGTTTGGGTGTTCCATCTTTTGGATTAACCAATTTTTGTAATGTTTTGTTATTTTAGAGAAAAACTTTTTCTTTTTTACTTCTGAAACATATGGGATTACTATGTTTTTGTATCTTTATTCTTTCTCATTTTTGTTAAATGCAGTGTTGCTCTTCCTTCTAGTTTTTTTGGCTGACATAAGAAATGTCCAGTCTCGTTACCCAATTGCTTTTAGTGATGTTAGAATATTTTTAGTTTTGTTTTGTTAAAGTCATATTATATTTCTACAACTGTAATAGAATAAAATTATAAACCGACCAAAAAACTTGGAGTCTCTATGCATATACTTGGTAAATGTTTCTAATTTTTTACAAAGATCCCTAAAAAAATCTAATTAAATATAAGCAACTGAGGAAAATCCTTTCAAATGTTCCATGTTACCAGTGCAACCCTAGTTCTTTTGTTTCTTTCTTTCACACCATCGTCTTCTTTAATTTTCCCCTTTCACTCCCTTTAAAACAGCAAATGCTTCCTGCAGTCACTCTACCTCTACATTGATATTCCACTCTCAATTTAGCCAAGAGACAGGCAGCAGTACAAGCTTCTTTTCTCACCAGAAGGCAATCTTAGATGGCCACAAAGAAAGGAGAGAGGTTTCATGAAATAAAAGGGATTCTGAAAGTTGAACAGAAGAAAAAACACAGGGGACAAAATAACCCTACATGCCAGGTAGGTCTCTTTTGGCATTACAGCAACACCATTTGTTTACTCGTTAATCAGCTGCAATAATTGATAAACAAGTGAATGGTAAGTGTGGTTGGGGGAAAAAGTGACAGAATGACATCTCCATCTTTTCCAAGATGGTTTAAAAAGGCTTTGATGTTAATGATGCTAGTTTTAGTTGTATTACCTAAGGCTAATAAAAAATAATTTGTATAAACTATTTTGTTTGGGTGGATCTCTTTTTTAGCGCTGTCAGAATTAAACTGAGCATCACAAAAAAGCATCACATCAAACAGCTAGTACCTATCCGGTGGCGATGAAGTTATCAGCATTCCTTAGCACTAATTACAAGTCATTTCATCACATGAGAGAAGCTACCAGATACTGAGTGTATTGATTATACTGAAAGTGATAATGCAACATTTATAAGCAACTGATAATGAGGGTTGAAGAGCTTTTCAACCGTACCCCCCACCCTGAGTACAAACGATCAAGATGGAGAGACCGATTCCTCAAGGCTACATGGAGAATTAGAGAATCCACAAGTAAGATGGGGAGACTCGAACACATGAAAGCAGAAGAGGAGGGGGATAAGTGCAAAGGGAGGAGAGGTAGGACTGTGAAGTGCTGACAGCAGGTAAAGGGTAAAGAGATAAGAGGAGTAAGGGAGTCACCTCAAGAGGAGCAGACAAGGAGTGAGGTGAAGGGAGGTGGAGAGCAGATGGCCTTAGGAAGAAAAGAAAAGAGAGGGTAGGAGGCAAGTTTGAAATATTTTCCCACAATGAAGAGAAACAAAAAGATGGATGAAGGTGAAAAATAAGGAGAAACCACAGATATGGAAATACAATGTGTCATTCAAGGAGACAGCCCGTGGTTTAAACCAGAACCAAGCTTGACATGAGCTGACAACCCGAGAGCAAAGGAAGGCAAGAGTAGGACAGTCGCCAGGAACAGAGAGGTGGGAAGGAATAAAAGGAGAAGAGAATAGGTGAGAAAAAGAAAGGAAAAAAAATACAGCCCAGAGCCAAGAGTCCATCTTTTATGCGATCCAGAACGTTGCATTTATAATAGATTCCTTCTTTCACAATAACTGTAGTTATAAAATAAATGTTAAATATACGCAATACTTAAAAACTGTCAATTATCTTCTTAAACAAAACCCAATAAAGTCTTGTCATTTAAAAAGCTAAAGATTTTAATTATCTTCACAAATAATGATATTATGAGGAGAAATATTATTTTTTTTCCTATGGTTTAATGTTTCAGTTAGGTTGGTTAAACCATGTTTTTCCACTACTGGTAATAGAGTATCAATAAATATGATTAAGTCCAATATTTTTGATGTCTGTTTGTACAACCTGTGTACTCAAGCTGTTACCTTGTTAACTGATGTACTGGACTAATATTAAAACAGCCCCTGACTGTGTGCAATGTCAAATGTATTGCTAAAAGGGTAAATTCCTAAAAACCTAACAGGTTCCAGACTTACAGTACAAGTACAGGTAGATGTTTTTAAGCATTAATAATATTAGGAGGCTTCTTTCTAAATATATATTATGGGACTAATATGCTATATTTAACACATGCACAAAAGATCTACTTGCCCAAAAGACAAATCTGGATCTTTGACTTCAACACAATTTTATTTTTAGGTCACACTTTGTTTATTGTTTATAAGTACAGAGCCAATACATAATTTATATTTCCAAAGTACACTTATTTAAACAGGTACATTTGAATGATATTTAAAAGTGTATTTTTAGGGTATATCTTACCATTCTTCTGGGACAGCATTTATAAGGTCAGGAATAAAATGGTGAGCTGTATGGAGCCTCTACTTCAATAAAACATCCCATGTGTTTTGACTCAGGTTGAAGTTGACTGTGTGTGGGCCAAGTTCTATTGTACAATCATTTTATTACTAAAGGGGCCTTATTGAAGCTGTCGCCACAGGGTAAAATTCTCCAGAAGGTCTTAGTATGCTGCAGCATTACGAGTTCCATTCACTGGAACCAAGGGGTAGAGTCCAACATCTGATAGTAAAGCCACACACCATTATAGCCTCTGAATCAAACTTTACGCTTGACTCAGCTCTGTCAGGTGAGCTCCGTTCTTTTGGCAGCTGTAAAACCCAGACACTATCATTGGATCGCCAGAGGGAGAGACAAGAAGTGTCCTTTCAAATATCATCTTTCCAGAACTCTGCGGTCAAGTGGCAGCATGCTTTACACTCCATCTGATCCTTTGTATTGCATTTTGTACCGCAAGAATTTAATGCAGCTGCTCAGCCATGGAAACCCATTTCATGCTTTGTTCTTTGAGCTAATCTGAGGGCCACGTGAAGGGATGGGAAGGTGGCAACTTCTAAGCATGACGCACCACAGGATCTGATGACCCCACTGAGGTGTGCAAGTAACTTTGCATTTGAACGTCTGATCATTTCTTTTAATTACCCAAATACCTTCAGTAATTTATCTCAATTCTGTTTTTAGTAAAAACTCAGGCCTCCTCTAAAGTTGCAAGGTTCTCCCTGCAATCTGTCATATGGAACATTGTAAGTTTTTTATTTATTTAGACTCTGTAGACTTTGTTTAACTTTGGTTAACACAACCATATTGATCAAACTAACACAAAGTAGACACAAAGAGACAAGTTCTTACCTTCCTTGCAGTACTTCCCCCTGAAGCGAGTGTGGGTACAGTCACACTGAACTTCTCCATACTGAATTGAACAGAACCCTCCGTTGAAACATGGGTTTTGTTTGGTGCAGAGGTACTCCAGGTCACTCTCAATGCCTTGGCTGTTTAACAGTGTAGGTGGCATCTCCCCCACCTTCAGATTGGTGATTAAGCCCATGAAGGGTGGTTCATACTTCACAGTGCTGGAGGTCAGAGCAGAGAGGCGCACGTCAAGAGGGATCCCACCCACGAAGAGATCACTGACCACTGCCATTTCCTTCCTCTTTGATTTGACTTGCGCCACTTTTGTCTCTCCATCTACCATTAGCAAAGTCTCACGAAAATTGCGGGTGAGCAAAACCATGTGCCAACGGTCATCATTCACTAGTGTCTCCATGTGTAGAATGGCTGGCTCGGCGCAGTGGATGGCAAAACGCAGTTGGAGACGTCCACCAGCAATCAGAAGCTCCAAGAAGTCACAGTTCCCACCGTCGTCGAGATAGAGCACCAAGGCTTGGCTGACATTGGTCTTCAGACTGAAGCTCAGCTCACCCACCGATCCAGCTTCCCAGCGCCCATAACGTGCATACTGGCCTGTTGCCCCACCAAATTCCAGCATGTCCACCGTAGCTAGCATGGTGAAAAAGGCCAAGGGCCACAGGGGCCAGCATAGGAATCTTAACACCCTTGTCATACTAAAATTTGCTATTTTTCTCTTTTTTAATTTATTCTTGGCCCGATGAGCCACAGAGCCAAGCCCCAACTTCCCTTTAGAAAAGCAAGTAAAAAGATTTTTAAATGCTAAACAGGCAATATAAAACAGAGATGCTTGCAGGAACTTTCCTCCAATGATCCAGTCGGCAGTTTCTTCCTTCACTTCCAAAATGTTTTGGCTTGTCCTTATCCTGACTCTTTCCTTTGTCTCTCCATCAGTCGGTGTCTCTGATACTGACAAGTAGCAGGAGAGTAGAAGGGGGGAAATTATAATGGCAGACCCTTTAGTTCTGTTCCTTGGACTAAATGGTCACTAAAATTTAGATTTTGGGGAAACCTCCACAAACTTTGAGTTGAGACACACGTTTGGTGTTCTAAAACAGAAATATATATAAAGTTGCAGCAGCTTTAAAAGGTGTCAGCTGCACTTAAAACCTTGTTCATAATTTCCCCATGACGTCTCACTCCTCCAAAGCCTTAGAAAGATTTATGTAGGTGTTGGTCCCATGATTGTAGCAGCATCTGGGAACCTAGAGAAAAGGAAAAAAAAAGGAAAACTGTAAAGATTTGCAAATACTGTCAAGAAACCTAAAAAAAAAAAATCATTTATCAATTCATTTTCTATAAAGGAAAGTACTGAAATATATTCAGTTGCTTTATGTCATTATTTAGCAATGTAGAAAATTTGCAAGAGCAACATGGGCATAGAGTGATCATAGACCCATGCCATTACATATAAATACTTCATATTTATAAATCACACCCTTTCACTGTGGCACACACAACACACACACCAGACATGCATTTGCAAACACACACATCATTAAACCCGATGTGATTCAGAGTGGAGTGCTGCCGAGTCAATAGGTTTGTGAATAGCAGATCTTGACCCTGGGGCTCAACCTGATCCCCAGCCATTAATTCTTGAGTGAGATTTAATTTCCATCACAGACCATCTAAAATTAAAGCAAGGCTCAACTCTGCTCCTGCTGTTTTTCTCTACCCTACACTCCTTCAACGTGACAGCAGAAATGCTGTTTGAATACAAGAGAAGAAAAGAAAAGAAAAAAAAACATGAAAAAAGCTGCATGATCTCAGAGAGACAAAATTGAAGAGAATTGATTTAATCTTCAAGGGAAAACTTTAATTTGGGGAATTTGGTGTTCGTGTTTGTTTATTATATCTTAGGATATGTCTTAAGAAAAACAGCTAAAATCTTGGTTGTAAAGTAGCTTTTTTAAAGCACTCATTTTTAAATAAAGTTTATGTCAATTATTAAAACTTTATTAAAAGCTTTTTAACATTCCAAATATTAGTATGTATTTTTTATGCTGATATCGTATCGAGTAAATATCGTTAACTGTCAATACTTAAAGCTGCAATATCTGTATCATATTCGGATGGAAAAAGTTGTATTGAGAAATCCCTAATAAATCCCATTTTTTAAGGACTTTTTAATGTTTTCATTAAAAAGTCCTTAACAATGGGACAGTTTTTATCAAGTATTTTTGAGCTACAAATATATATATATATATATATATATATATATATATATATATATATATATATATATATATATATATATATATATATATATATATATATATATATATATATATATATATATGGGTTGATTAGTATTGCTATTAAAGATAGACGTATACTGTACATTGATCAGCGGATATTTTAGGTCAATATCAGTATTTTAGCACCTGCATTGTCAATCTGTCCATTTGTTATTCTTTGTTAATGTTTTCTTTGATTTGTTAATGATATAGACACAGTATTTGTTATTATGCTGTTATATTTATCATACAAATTGAGGAAGGGGAAACAATAAGAAGGTCCTTTATGCTAACGCTAATGATGGGTTGCTATATATTATTTCTGTATTTCTATAATTATTAACAAAATTAGCAAAAATTGAAAACAGCGTAAAATTCCTCTTTTTTTATTTATTAGAATGTATTTTTCTTTTTTTCTAAAGCTGACAACAAATTAGCACAACGTATTCTTTAGAGACTACAATTGATCTGAAACATTTGATCGTAAACTCTGACTGAATCAGATGCTTTTTTTACTAAAGCCATTAACATAAGTTATTGATCTGCTGTGCTTGATCAGTGCTTTGTGCTAAAATTATTTTAGATCTGTGTCATCAGAAAAGCAAAAAAGATTAAGCAGTTAGATTTAAAAAAAAAAACACAAAAAAACCCAAAAGCTTACACCATGTGTCAGGCAATCCCACTAGATCGCTGGAGAATGGCTCCCCAAAGCCCTTTCCATCAATAAATAAGCATATGACTAAATAAATAAAAAGCTCCATCACAAAACTACTCAACACAATAGCCTGTATCTATACAGTGAAACACACACTTCTCAACACTCTTTCACATGGCTAGAAGAAGAGCTGCGTTTAAACAAATGAAAGGGAAGAAAAAACACGTATTCCCACATCTTGCAGAATAATTCCTAATCAATAATTAAAACAACCAAACAAACATCATAGCACCATCAAGCATATTTCATATCTATAAGAAATAATTGTTTTCACAGCTTTAAAACCTGATTTTTTTTGACAAAGATGAAAAATGTGATACTGTAAACACTTAAGTTTAGATTCCACAGGGAGTTTGTTTTGGTTTTGCTATGCTCCATTTTTTTTAAGCCCATTAAATCTCTCTTTGAGGTTTCCTCCGAGGAGGAGCGATTTAATGGAGTGCGCACATAAAGGCAGTCAACTGGTAATGTGCATTGCTCGAATCATCTCATTTGGGTAAACCATCAGGTTGGAGTGTGACAGTGAGGAGGTCAAGTTAGGTTTGAAAGCTCATTAGAAAAACAGCTCATGAGTTTTACATCCTACATTGTTTAATAATGTAGGATTTTACCCTATTTAAGAGGTTTATAAACACCTACACCAATTTTTATATCATTTTACATTTGAAAATACTGTTTAATTGGAATAGAGTGTCTTTGAAAGGCAATTTATTCCTGTAGGAGAGATCAAATCAGCCTAGTTTATTTTGGGGTCTATGTGGGAAAGATCTTAATCTGCAATATCTGTATTGATTTTCAGAAGATAGCAAGAAGATAGCAAATTTTCTCTTAAATACACGATTAACAGTTATAACAGCAACTCAAATGTAAAAGAAAAAAAAAACAAGAGCTAAATTATTCAATCAGCAAACTCTCCCTCTGATTAAGTTCTTAAGCATTGCTGAGACTGCATTTCTTCCTCTCTAATCATTTCTGCTTTTTTCAATATTCAGTCAATTCATCTTTATTTTTCCCTAATTAACCAGGGGCTACTGGAAGGTTCAGCAAAGAGAATATTACATCTCAAAGGAAGCACAAAAGCATTGAATAGAACAACTAATGAGATAGGGCCACCAAACAGAAATTTAGTTAATTGGTTTGATGATAACCTTTAATAAATGTTAGACAATTCTGAGTAATGCTGCATGAAGACATTTTACTTATACCGTTGTTTAAAAATCTTTTGTGATCACAATATTGCTCCCTTTTAGTTTTGACGATTACAAGTTGTAACAGTCATAATTGTGTAGTGTCTCTTTAAGAGACTCTGGTATTGCTATGTGCCATTGCTTCTCTGTAAATAGGGTAAATACTCAGACTAGGGTTGCCAACTGTCCCTTGAAAATTTTAATCTTTCTGTATTTAGAAATAAAAGTACATGTCCCGTATTTAGTGGAAAAGGAACACACTTTGTTCCGTATTACTGTGAGAGTAATATGGAAAATAAAGAACAAGGGCACTTTAGATAAAAAAACTTATGGTAAGGTTATTCCGGGGCCCTGTCCTGCATTGTAACCAATGAGCTGACAACATATATGTAACGATCCAGAATACCATCATCCCATTGGTCGAGCCAAGTGTTGCTCACGGAGAAGAAGGCGGGAGACAACAGAGCAGTATGGCTATTAATGTAAATGCTGACACTGCTTTTGGGGTCGGTATACCTTCACATAGCGATACTCCTCTTCCGAAAGAAAAAGGATGCAGAAATATTAGCCTCGTGAGACCATCCTGATCTCGCGAGCTTTCAAGGTTTCACTCGCACATCAGTCTGGAGACTCTCCATTAAAGAAAATTTGGAGCCGTTCACCAAACGAACGTCCAATCAGCGTTGGCTTTGAGGCGGGTTGAGGTGTGACGCAACGAGAAGCACGACAGTTCAGTCTAAAGAACATGGTGGCTTCAGCCGATTAAACTAGCGTTAGCGTGGCTATCGAGCAAGTTTTATCAGAATTACAGAGTATTTCTTCACTGAAAGAAGAGCAAAACACTGCTCTGGAGGCTTTTCTCAGAGGAAAAGATGTTTTTGCTCTTCTCCCGACTGCTTTCGGCAAGACTTTCATCTATCAATTGGCTACTCTTCTTCGTCGCTGTTAGTACGTCATATGCTTCGTTGATCTGATTGGTTTATTTGGCCCGCCTATCACCAACATAGGCCAATCAGCTAACCAGTATTTTCGCCCCTTCCCAAAATTACTTCAACGGAAGGTTTCCAGATGGATATGCGGGGGCAAATCCATCTGGCGGAGTCAGGTTACAAAAATATAGGGAGGAATGGAAAAAAGCCTGGGTGGAAAAAGTCTGTGATAATGAATACACACTGCAAAAATTGATCAAATTCAATTCAGATTTGAGTCAAATAGTTAAAAAATAATTTCACACAGAAAGGAGGGCAAAAAAAAAAGAAGCCACGCCAGGAGGGGTAAAAGGCAATCGGGTCAGGGGGTCAGCGGTCCCTTTTTTTCAGGGAGTTTCAACCCTAACTCAGACGAACATGTTCATTCTTAGTAATGTTACGGGTTGTTTGGACTCATTTTGCATATTTGAGAATATAGCAGCAGTTCAACCAGGCTTTTTAAGGTTGTTAAAGAGAGTGTTTATTAAAGGACAATGCTGTGGAATTCCCAGTACAAGTTTGGTTGTGAGTTTTTGACCGACCTGTCGAGTCTGCCACCACCACTCCTCCGTTAAATGCATTACAAAGTGATACATTGTGCAGCTGTACTTTGTGCAACTATAAAAGTAAACTCATCAGTCCAAAATTGACTGAAGGAATGATACAAAAAGACCTGCTGACTAAATAGTAGGAAAAGGTCCTACATCTAAGACCATGTAAAGTAACTACAGTAAACTACGTCGGTTTCCCTTTACAGGATCCATGAAAATGTCGACAGACTTTCTAAACTCAACTTCAACCCCAGTCGGCCTCAGCAGATGGCCGCTCACACTGAGCCTGGTTCTGCTGGAGGTTTCTTCCTGTTAAAAGGGAGTTTTTCCTCTCCACTGTCGCTACAAGCAATCTTAGTGTGAGGGATTGTATTTGAGTCAATGAGTCAATGCAAATAACTGGTTTTCCTTAGATAGAAAACTTTGTATCAATTTGACTGTATGATCTGGTTGAGATGCCTTGAGATGACATGTGTTGTGAATTTGGCGCTATATAAATAAACTGAATTGAAATTGAATTGAAATTAAACTTGACTTTTTAACT